GGACCATCAAGTGTAAAACTTTCAATGTGAGAATGTGGGAGTTTTGCCTTTACATTGTTCGGCCACTACTGGCCACCACATCAGCTTGCCGTGGTGTCACGTGCGTCACTGTACACACAGTAACAGCACGCACACGGACATAGGCCAAGAACACAACATTCTGTAAGATACTGCACGTAACTAGCAGTGGCACACGAATTCTGTCGTTATGTTCCTCTGCGTACGCAATAAGACGTTTAATTTATTCTAATTACTTTTAACATACAGAGCCGGGATAGCGAGTTGGTCGAGGCACTGTGCTACAAGCTGGAAAGTCGCGGGTTCATTTCCCGATGAGGCCATTATATCCTTCCAGCCTCTAACAGAAACGAGTACCAGGAATATTCTTGGAATATTCTTGCGGATAAAGGGCGGCCGGCTGGTCACGGTAGCCGAGCGGTCTAAGGCATGCACTGCCTTCGCTCGCTCGGAAGCCGGGATCGTGGGTTCGAATCCCACTCAGGGCATGGATGTTTAGTTTGTGTGTGTGCGTTTTTCTGTGTTTGTGTACAGGTAGAGGCCTTGCGACGAGCTGATCACCCGCCCAAGGAGTCCTACCGTATGTCTAAGATCTAGAAAAACCGAAGTGAACGGATAAGTTCATGGAGGTAGGCCTAGGGCCAAATGAGGGCTGTAGCGCCAATGAAAAAAAAAAAGAAATGCGGCCGGCGCGTAGGGCTGACAACTTTGCCGCCATCTGTGAGCCGACTGTTTAGAAAATGTGGGAACCTCAGTATCTCACAACCCAGTGGGCCTCCACGGCCTGTTACAGTGATAGCTTTTTGGTAGTAATGCGGTAAAGGGACACTTTTGCTGTAATAAATATAATGATTCTTAAACATCATATAACAGTCCTTATGAATGTGACACATTTAATTTTACATGTTAAGGAACTGTTCTTTGGCACGTAAACTTAGTAACATGTGGTTTAATCTGAGAATATAATGTATGCAATACAGTCTTGGGACACAGCTAAACGGTTGTGTTTTGTGGTTATTTACTGTTATAGATTGAATGACAGTATGCAGTAAGTAAACTGCTCAGCCTGGCACATGTGTTCTCATACATTGACAGAATTTGTAACTTGCATAATTCACATGTATCTTCGTTTGAGCACACCTATCTTGTGAGGTGCTTGCCTTATGTTCGTTAATGGTATCGTATTGGGGGCACTTGGTAGTGTAGTTGGTTGAGGCAATATGCTACAAGCCGGAAATTCATGGGTTCGATTCCCGATGAGGTAATTGGATTTTTCAGTTGGCCTAATCCTTCCAGCTGCACTATGGCCCTAGTATCGACTCAGCCTTTGACAGAAATGAATACCAGGGAAAACGACGCGTAAGGCTGACAACCTCACCGCCATCTGTGAGCCGATGGTGGAAGCCTCGACGTCTCACAACCCTCTGTGATCAGTTACAGGGATATGTACAGAACTTACTTGACCGCATTCAGATTTCATTCGCGATTTGTAATGCTAATAGAAAATCCCTTTCTGACAACTTATTTTCAAACACATATGTAGACCAATTCTTTATAGTGTTGGCTCCGGCTTCTGTTGATGGTCAGCAGTGACCGAAACTTATAATATTATCATATTAAACTGGTTAGACTTACGTAAGATTTGAGGCTTTCACGGCGGTGACTATGAAGAAAGCAGTCTTCTGGGATTTGGCGCCGTGTATATCTGGTGTCTGCTTTTACCGGTTCTCACGGTCTCTTCGCTTGCAGATTTCTTATATTTTTTCTTCTACCCTGAAGATGGAGGTGATACGTTCCTCCGAAACGTCGGTTAACACCATATATACACGGTGCCAAATCCCAGAAGACTGCGTTCTTCATGGTTAGACTTAATTTCCCGTAGCTGCTTATTCAGCACAATCGCGGCACATTCCGGCCTAAATCCATTTCCGTCTTGCTATCTGCATTAACCTCGTCAGGCAGTGTCATGTCGTTAACGAGCAGTCACTTCCCTGAGGAGAATCCAGTCTTGTTAATTCACGGCTTTATATAATGTCTCTCGCTGTGAGTAGGAGAGTGTATTAGCTTCACTGGCTGTGGTTGGCTTGAACTGTAGTGGTGGATGTTGCCAAGGAGAACGCTCTTTTCTCTAGTGTATACAGTAATGCAATTGTTGGTTGGGGTAATTTGCTTTCAGTTGCGTTACTAAACCTGGTCTACACCTGTTAGTTAAGTTGCATGCCCTGCTGGTATATACCATTAGCTTAGTGAACACATAGACTTCTGCGAAACCAGACGCATGTATAACACGTACATACACCATCCGCTGGTAGCCCAGGTTCAGCATTTCTGTTCCGAAAAGGAAATGCGCCAGAGAGGGGCACTGCAACCAGAGTCTGGTCACTCAGCTGGACAGTGGGTCTGGTCAGCGAGAGAGAGTGGCTATGTGCTTCTCTGATGTTTATGTGCTTTAACTACGAGGCTTTGTGGTGCCGAATGTGGTAGCTAACTATCCAGGGGCTGTTAATAGCTGAGCTAATCAAGATATTGTGACATAACGCATAAAATCCGGAATAGTGGAACCAGATCGGAAGCCCATTGCTAGTCAACGGCTTACGAAACACACGTTTCCGCTGCAACGAACAGACATGGGATAATACATTGCTGGACCGCGGTTCGCTCGGCACGTTTCGTAGCAACGAACAAAACACAAATAATATCAGAGTAATGCGCGAAATGTTCGAGGTGGTGATCTCTCATCGGTTCGCCAAAAGTTATAAAAGAGAGTTCATTCGTGTATAAATTGATTGCTCCCGTGTGGAGGGCGGTCGAATACCTCCACCCTGCGAGTCCTAGGAGGCGACGAAAAGGGAAATCTGAGACAGTAAAATGTGGTCGCGAGTCCCACAGGGCTCGGACACGAGAATGACTGCGTTGGCGAAGGCCAGCAGCAGTTGTAGTCGACAGACCCTTCCTCTCGTCAGAGAGAGCGCTTCACATCAACAAAACTGAAACTGTCTGACAGTAATACAAATCTGGCCGTAAGNAACACGAGAATGACTGCGTTGGCGAAGGCCAGCAGCAGTTGTAATCGACAGACCCGTCCTCTCGTCAGAGAGAGCGCTTCACATCAACAAAACTGCAACTGACAGTAATACAAATCTGGCCGTAAGCCCCAGATGGGTGTCTTATTCGAAGACAGACTGACCGGCTGACCGTCAGTCGTAACATAAGACTAGACTCAGAATTAATTGATTCGCAGAGAGTTGAAGGATGCATTCGTAAGAGAGGTTAGTGTTCAGCAGTGGAGGGAGCAGAAGTGGCCGATTAGTAAATCAGGACTAAGTCAGTCACAGCGGAAGAGTTGACACTCATAGTCCCGTAAGGAATGGAGCGAGTCTTAGGCAGTCACTGATTGTGAGCTGACGTAATTGTAAAGAAGTGCCAGTAAATCCATTCATCAGATCAATAACCCGTTATATTTGTCACGCAACCCCTCATACGTAATAATATGGAGTGAGCCGGGTTAGCTCAGTCGGCATAGAGAAGGGCCACAGGCTGGACGGCCGGGGTTCTATACTCGGCAGGAACAAGAGCTTTTTCTGTTTCCCACAGAGTCCAGAGCGGCTCTGTAGCCCACCCAGACTCCTATCTAATGGGTACCGGGGCAAAGCGGCCGGGGCGTGAATCTGACCATTCACCTTCATCTAGTGCCGACGTCAAGAATGATGGAGCTACACCTCCGCTCCCCCATACGTCTTCATGGTCTGGTGATTATTAATTAAGCACAGGAATAACTTTACCTGTTACCTTTACCCACCGTTATGGAACATGAGAATTTATTACCGTGTTCATAACACGCGAATCTAGTCGTCTGCCGCCTCACGACTTATTATTTTGAGATTCAATTTAATATTATCCCTCTGTCTGCTCCTAGGTCTGCGAAGTCTTTTTTCCTTTAGGTACCTCGAGTAAAACTGTAGATGCATTTGTAATAACATCGTGCGTGCTACACGTCCCATGCCGCCCATCCTTCTTGATATGATGAAGGCTGTACTTTCTGGGACACTTGTCACTTCGCTCACGGCACGCCCAGACAGTGTTCAGTAAACCCACTTCATGTTTAATTGAACAGTGTTCGTTGCTTTGTGCTGTACTGTGTCTTTATATGATTCCATTTCTCCGAGAGATGTTTCGCAAAGTCAGCAGCTTAGCAATAGGCAGACGTGCATGTGAGACTTTCTGGAACTATGTTCTGTTTGAGGCTCTCACAGCGGGGCTCTCTCTGATATATCGTCGTGTATCCCGCTGAAAGAGTAGTTCTTTGAGGCACTATACTACAGGCCGGGATCGAATCCCGATGAGGTGCATTTTTTCAGTTGACCTAATACTTCCATCCGCACTATAGCCCTGGGGTCGAATCAGCCTCTAACAGAAATGAGTACCAGGAATCTTCCTGCGGGCAAAGGGCGGCCGGCGCCTAGGGCTGAAAACCTGACGGCCATCTGTGAGCCGATTGTCTAGAGAAAATGTGAGAGCCTCGACGTCTCACAACCCTATAGGCCTCCACGGCATGTTACAGGGATAGCTTTGTCTTTATTCCGGTGATAGTTAACCGACGTTTGGAAGGAGAATGTTGCTTCCTTCTTCACGATATACGAGTAAGGCAAACAGTGAAGGAACAATAGGTCCACTTTGATTATACTTATTGGCAGTTTCTTGCTTCGCTACCTCTTCGACCATGAGGATGGAAGCGATATGTTTCTCTGTAACCGGACTACACGTCGTTATATCCCAGGCAACATAACTCTTCTTTGCAAAACTGACTTGGATGGAGTTCAACACATTTTTTTATTAATGTCTTTGAGTAAATGAGGTTTAATGTATTACTATGAAGGGCACTTAATATAATTTTATTGATATTTTCAGTCTTGAACTTATCACACAGAGCTTATGCATTGCAGATGCAGACACTCTGCTATAGATTTCGTGTTTCTTTTCAGGCGCACTGTTCGCGAACAGCTGAACTGTCCTCAGGACACCGTTGAGAAGTCTCACGTGGTATCCGAGATGGGTAAGTGAAAGTTACGACTTCCATACTTAAAATGATTGGCATGTACCCTTAACTGTTCTGCTTATTAAGGCGTAGAGGAGACGTGTGTACGGTTATAAAACAGAATCTTGCGTTTACTTGATTTGAGCGGGTTGGCTAATAGAACCATATAAAGTTGGTGTCTTTATGCTGTATAAATGATTGAAGGATGCTCGTCAGTAAATTTATGTCATGGCTACATACATAATTTGGGTACATATACCTGTGTACATTGAACCTATATGTATTGTTTGTTTTCATTCTTTCATTCATTCATAAATGGACATAAGCCCTTTGTTGGGTCCTGGCCTCTTCTTCAGTTTCGTAATCATTTTTACACAGACGGTAGGACTCCTTGGACGGGGGATCAGCCCGTCGCAAGGCCGATACCTACACACAGGACAACAAAGACACATAGACATCCATGACTCGAGTAGGATTCGAACCCACGATCCCCGCTTTCGATCGGGCGAAGACAGTTCAAGCCGTAGACCGCGCGGTCTCCCACTGTGATCGGCATTGTCAGGTGACTTAAATTTATTCTACCTTTCAATAATTGTTTATGACAACTTTCCTTTTGATGATATTCTGTATAAATTCACAAAAAAATAAATATGTTGCGATTTTTATGCTCGTGATTCACTCAATAAATAAATAATTTACTGGTGAAACTGTTCCTGATGTTGCAAATATCTTGAACATCTTGGTTCTGTTGCTATGTTTTCTGCATGTACATCGATTTCCCACCTTTTGACCAATCACACCGGCCAAGTAGTGTGGTCCAATTTTGGCTTCAGCGCCGTTACACAGACGGCTTGAATGACTTTATGTTGCGGATTGCCTGCTTTTCGGGACAGATATGCTGAATCTGGGCTTGCTTACTTACTCACTCATGGAGCTGAGCCCTTTTTGAGAAGCCAAATCTGCAGCTACTGAAGAATTTCCAGTCATTTTATGGAACCCGAAGGTTCATTACCTTGTTCACAAGAGCCCTCCACTGGTCCCTATCCTGAGCCAGATCAATCAAATCCATACCATCCCATCCTGTCTCTCTAAGATCCATTTTAATATTGTCCACGCACCTACGCATTGGTCTTCCTAGTGGTCTCCTTCCTTCTGGCTTTCCCACCAATATCCTATATGCATTCCTCTTCTCCCCCATTCGTGCTACATGCCCTGCCCACCTCATCCTCCTTTACTTAATCATCCCAATTATACTTGGAGAAGAGTACAAGTTCTGAAGCTCCTCATTATGCAGTTTTCTCCAATCTACTGTCACTTCATCCCTCTTTGGTCCAAATATTCTCAACACCCTGTTCTCAAACACCCTCAATCTATGTTCCTCCCTTAAGGACAGAGACCAAGTTTCACACCAATACAAAACCACGGGCAAAATTATAATTTTGTATATTTTAATTTTTATGATTTTGGACAGCAGACGAGAAGACAAAAGGTTCTGGACCGAATTACCCGAGTTCAGTCTCCTCTTAATTTCCACCTGAAGCAGGTTTCGATCTGTTTTCGTTGTTCCCAATTTTTTGAACTGTGCCACATTTTCAAAACATCTGTCTTCTCTCGTTATGTCATAATTTTGCCCTGCATTTTGGTGACGAGGCAGCAACATACACTTAGTTTTCTCTGTGTTTACTTCTAGACCAACCTCTTTACTTGCGTCAATTAAAGTTTGTGTGTTTTTCTTTATGGTATCTATATTATCAGCCAGTAGATTCACACCATCGGCATAGACCAACAGCTGGTGTGCCCCGTTTAATTTCAGTCCCACCTGGTTTTCCTGGACCTTCCTAATTGCATATTCTAAAGCAAAGTTGAAAAGGAGTGGCGATAAAGCATCTCCTTGTCTTACACCATTCTGGATAGGAAATTTATCAGACAAACGTTTACCTATACCGACTTCACTATACTTTTCGTTTAAACACATTTTAATCAGTTTAACTACTTTCATGGGTATCCCAAACTCTATCAGAATATTGTACAATACTTCCCTCCTAACTGAATCATAGGCTTTCTTGAAGTCTACAAATAGCTGAATGAGTATCAAGAAAAACTGGAAGAAATCCAGATTTTAAATAATCTTGCTTTCCTGACAGTTTTAACACCTCATCTAAATGCTTTAAACCTGAAACTACAAGGCAAGAAACAAAATATCTCCCAGCTTTATGGACATATTGAGGGCTTCCGCAAAAAACTTGATGTAATGCAAATTGCACTGAAGGCAAATAAAGCTGCACACTTCCCATCTTGTCAGCAGTTGAAAGAAGAAGAAGAAAATGACACAAAATTCAGAATGTTTCATGAAATAATAATTGATATCAAGAAAGAATTCCAGGACAGATTCCAAGATTTTGACTCCCTAAAACCAAAACTTGCACTGTTCAATAACCCCATGGAGATTGAAGTGAGTGAGGTGCCCTGCGACCTTCAAATGGAAATTTGTGATCTTCGGGCAGACCCATTCTACCAGACTAAAAAGTGTGATGTCCCTGAAACTTGCTGGAAACTGATTTCTAAAGAACGTTTCCCCAAACTGCTTAAATTCTCTCTGCAAATGTTATCGCTGTTTGGCAGTACATATGTGTGTGAAAGTGCTTTTTCTGCTCTCAAACAAATTAAATCAAAAACGAGAAATCGCACTGAAAGTGCTTCACTGGAATCAAGCCTGAGACTTTGCCTTACTGAACTTACAGTGGACATTGATAAACTTGTATCAGAAAAGCAGTGGCAATCATCACATTGATTTCTCGACTGTAAAATAAAGTGATATATTAAACTAGTGAGTTATATGTAATTCGTTTTCTTTCTTTAATGTCTCTGGCCCTCACTTTCCTATACAAAAATTTGATTGGCCCTCGGGTAACTAAAGGTTGGACCACACTGGTCTAGATAATGTGGGATGCTCAACGTCTCACAACCCTATGGGCCTTCATGGCCTGGTACAGGGATAGCTTTACTTTCTTTTTTACTTTACTGTCTCATTGTACTCCCACTTTTCTCCAGTATCTGACGAATGCAAAAGATCTGATCCGTAGTTGATCTGTTACGTCGAAACCCACACTGATGAGCCCCAATAATATCATCTATGTATGAACCCTTCTTGTGAACTGGTACAATAATAGACCCCTTCCACTGATCAGGCAAATTTTCCTTATGCCAAATAGAAGTAATTAGCTTATGGATCTTAGAACGTAATATTTCGCCTCCTGCTTGAATAAGTTTGGTGGAATTTGATCGCTACCTGGCGATTTATACCTTTTCAACTTTACAAAAGCACTTTCAACCTCAAAAGGGCTAGGATCAGGTACTAACGGCTCAGCTGTATGGATTTCTGTCTGCCTAATAGCACTGACCCCATATACATTCAGTAACTGAGAGAAGTAGTTCCTCCACCTATTCAAAATGTGGGAATCTGCAAGCAGATCACCATTCTCATCCTACACTAAGTTACTGCTAGGCTGGTAACCCCCTCTTAAAGTCATTTATTCCTCTATACAGGTCTCTAATGTTCTTGTTCTTACCGTTCATTGCAAGCTCATCAATTTTGTCTTTCAGATATTCCCTCTTTTTGTTCCTGAAATGTCTGCTGGTTTCACGTCTTATATTGTTCGGATTATCCCCATTTAACTCGTTTGGATCCTGTAACCACTGCAATTTGGACTACTTTCCTTTGGTCTAGTAGTTTTGAGCACCCTTCATCGAACCATGGCTTATGCTTCTTCAGTTCACAATAACCTAGACTCTCCTTGGCAGAAATTTTGATATTCTCTCTACTAGTTTCCCAAGCTTGATTAACGTTCACCTCAGTGTCCATGTTTTCCAAGGCCGCGAACCTATCTGAGATTTCAACACCATACTGCCCCTTACCCTCTACCTCATTTAATTTCTTGAGATTGAACCTCTCCATATGAACCTTGTGCGTTGTTTGTTTGCTCACTGCCAGTCCTGAATCTGGACTACCAGAAATAATTTTTTTGTGTGTGTAAAGCGGATAGCGTGTAGACCCCTGTGTGCTCCCTAGATGAACTGAAGCTCAGAAATGTTGCTGTGATCGAAACAGTTACACCGCAAATGCTAGAGAACACTTGGAGGGAAGCTGCATATCGCTTACACATCTTTCATGCCACGAATGCGCGCATATTCAAGTTCTTTAGCATTCTGCAGTATTAATTGTATCTATATAAATAAAAACGTAAATGTTGGTTTGTGTCTTATGGAAGATCTCCGAAAGTTCTTCACCGATTGCTTTGAAATTTTGACACAACGTTGCATTCGAACACGCGAGTGTTTTTATATACCCATTATATAGATGTCACACCCGTGACAGGTAAAAACAGGTAAAAGTATTAATTGTATTCAATATATACGTAATATACTGTAACGTGTTATATGTCGTCCATCGAATACCAAGAGATCGTTGCCTAGGAATAACCGTGGCAACGAACTGATGAAACAGCGGATCGTTGCCTTGGAATAACCGTGGCCACGAACTGTTGAAACTGCGGAAATAACGCATTTCTGCGGCAACGAGCACAGAACACGTGAAATAGAACCCTGGGCGAGAGTGCCCTCTATTGCGTCCGAAAGCGTGTTATAATAGTCCCGCTCCGAGGAGTTTTTCTGTTATACTGGACGTGATAATAATTGTACTCGCTGGTGTAAAAGTGAGCTTTCAATAACTTATTCGCTGAATCCGAGACGTGCGAGGACGTTATTTCGTAAGTATAGTTTATTTTTCATTGTTTTTCTTTTCGTTTTCTAAGAACAGGCTTAGGTCGTCGTACTCGCGGAGCGGAAGCAATGCGTCCAGTAATTTCAAATGAAACTGGGGAAGAACGGGCAGACTGAGCCACAGCAAGGTGTGGCCGGGCACAGATAGTATGTAATAAAACTTTTTGAGTTACCCTTTCATATTCCATCAGGATTTTTATTATTTTTTTTTTACATTTGAAGATTACAGGCCACTGAACCTCGACAGTAATTTAGAATCACCTTTTATATGTTATATATGCGAAATGCTTTCGCATAATAACCATTGCAATCGTACATGCTGTCACGTCAGAATTTGTGTGTTCACTGATTAATGACGTACTGTATATCACCAGGACACGTGAACTAACGGTTGCAGAACAGACTGAACTGAAAGCCAACTGTTACATTACTACAGTACAGAACGGAACATACCCCTAGCGACATCCATCGCCATGGGTGAAGTCCAGCCAGGGCAGTGTGACCAACACGCTTCGATTTACAGCTAGGAAAATGTGTAGTAACGTGACTGGATTCCCCTGAATTTAGCGAATGTTGTGGACTGTCTTCATGTTTCCACCAATATTCGATATCCTAGCTACTTGAAGAACAAAAACAAACTCCGTGGCCTGTAGTCCGCAAGCGAACTATACCGACCGAGCGACCGCCGCTTGTCGATGAATGTAGTGCCAACTTTTGCGGATATTGGGTGTCACCTGGTCAGCGCAACGGATCCCCACCGCCGTTAATCTCGGTTTTCTAGACCGGAGCCGCTATTTGCTTGAAATAAGCTCCTCAGTTATCCTCACGAGGCTGAGTGGACCCCGTTCCAGACCCACTACTTCTCAGAAAAACTGGTGGCGCCGGGAATCGAACCCAGTCCGAACTACTTGAAAGTACACTTGAGGCTTCTTATCAGCCCGAGATCTCTGAAAGTTCAAATTTTCAGATCTCAGATTTTCGGGTTAAATTGGAACATTTTAAAGACGTCAGCCTCAATGTGTCAGACTACCAACATCCATTTTTATCACTCGCTACGTAATAATAGTAATGTCTTGCCCCTGCATCCAAGCACCGCGTCATGAAGGCGCGCGAGGTGAGTGAAGGCATTCTTAACCTCAGCACTAGATGGTTGTGAGCGGCCAAGTTCAGGCGCCATCCCCTTTACTCCTGGCAAAGCCTCTAAACAAATAGGATTTCGCAGTATTTGTCTGTTTATCTATTGCTCTACAGCCATTGTAGACCTTGGCCGCTTTTTTCAGTTTCTTTATCTGTGCAAAGCCGGTACGACTCCTTGAACGTGGGTCAACGCGTCGCAAGGCCGCTAACTACACACAGGACAACACAAAAAGAATAAATGCACATAGACATACATTCCTTGAGTGGGATTCGAACCCACTGTGTCACTGTTCGAGCTAGTGGTCACGGATCGGCGTTTGCAGTATACCTGTGGTGAAGGTAAATGAAATAAAACAACGTTGTCAGTCTTTCTTCTGCACCGTGCCAATCTCAGCTTTCAGTCATGCTGTCCCTAAATCTTTCTGATAACTTTTCTCATTCTCTTAATGTCTGCGGAGACTAAAGAGTGAAGAGCAACAGAAGAATTCTCTTTCCATGTTCTGCGACACTGTATCGTATAGCGGCATTCAGACATATGCACTTTTCCATTTGTCAGCCTGATTTACAGGATCACGTGAACAGAAATAACATAGTTATTTGGTGACGTCGGTGTATTAATTAATGTGACAGGGGGGGCTGTGGGAGTCAAATGCCACGGGGCGCTGAATCATGTCCCAGTTCACCCCACCAACTGTGAAAAGCTGGCAGCTCTCCTGTAGTGGGGAGTGAGGTGTTGCCTGGCCGCTAGTGACTGGTCACTTCTGCGTGCGTGACCTTTGCAGGCAGCGCGTAAAGTAGAGGACGACGGCCGTCTCGTGTCTATATCTTAGCAGATTTCGATACAGTTTCATACAGAATATCTACATTGAAATCTTTCATTCGTATTTACTTCGATTCCCGTCGGCCTCACTTGACGCCCCGGTTAACATGAACATCCAGTCAGAAGTAACGAATTTTCTAAAGGAAGGTAGTGTTTGCCATGAGGCGTAGATATGTTACTTCTGTCTTCATTCTTTATGGATAGTTTATGACTGCGGCGAGATCGGTTGGTTAGCTGCGGGCCCTATAGAAAAGACTATATGTTCCGTACGTTTGCATTGTTGATTGCGCCTCTTAGTCACACACACACACACACACACACACGTGTGTGTGTGTGTGTGTGTGTGTGTGCGCGCGCGCCCGTCAGTGTGTAGACCTGATGCTAGGCAATGACCGCGAAATAAGCAACTTTCAGACACCCGTTGCTATGTAACAATCATGTTTCCACGGCAACAGTTGCAGTGCAACAGAGGAACGCTGTCTTCTACGCTGACCTTGTCAAGATGTGATAAGCAGGGCCACTTAGCTGTTGCAGTTCTCAGAGGGTATAACTGGGCCACCCTGTTGCTGGGGGATATAAATACAGGGACCTGGCCCTCTAGCTTGGTGGATTCTCGAATCTGAGACAGTAAAATATGATCATGATTCCCGCGGGACTCGGACCTGAGAATGACTGCGCTGGCGAGGACCAGATAACAATTGTAAACGACAGACCCATCCTCACATCAGAGAGGAAGTTACATAAGGACTATAACCGCAAGTTTTCAGTTGAGAAACAAAATTACTGGTCGTGAGTCTCAAGGGCCTTGTCGTCAAGACGAACTGATTTGTGGTAAACCGCCAGTCGTAAAGTGACTCTGACTCTGACTCTGTTGCAGTTGTCGGTCGGTCTGTTAAATTGCTCGTGGTCTTCGCCAGCACAGTCATTCCTGGCTTCAGTCTCGCGATCCATGACCAAGATGTTTATTCCCTACTAGACGTGTACGTGTTTCGAAATGGGGCCTCCCCTTCGAGGAAGGAGGGGGCCAGGCTTTCTCTGTAGGCGCTACGTTTGTT